ACATTCAGTCGTCAGAGCCATCTTCTGAATCATTTGGATAGCCTCGTTTTTTATCCATTATAACAAGTACAGTATCATCGGAACACTCGGACGTTATTGATCAGTTTGTAACGTTATCAATTAAACACTTGCTTCTTAGGAGCCAGGCATGGCATTGGCGGGTCTTTACAAGCGTAAATTAGAGTTACACTCAGTATTCACCAATCTTGTCAAAATTGAAAACAAATAACAGTGCGTTGAAGGGTCTTGGCATTTATTATCACACAGAAAAAACGATAAGTAAAGTTACTAAAACTGATATTTCCTTCAAAATTTACTAGTCCGACAGACTAGTTACTGTAAAAAATCACTCGTCCGCCGGCAAAAACCACTCGTCAGGACGAGCGGACGAGTGCTTTTGCCGGCCCCTGAGCAAGTTTTTTATTTTGCTTGATTCAGACTTATCTGACAAAAGATTTTAATCTTTTTTAGCCACTCACCTTGTAGAATGTGTTCACTGGTAGGTTGTATTGATAGGTCACCTCATCCATGTGTCCCATCTTTTTCCAGGTTACCTCTGAAATATATAAAGACAAGAATTCTGAAAATGGTGCAGTGTTTACTTGTAAGCAGTTAATACCATCATTTTTGATACAGACTATATGTACTATTGTGATACAGACTATACACAAGCCTTGTTCTGGTTCCTGGCAAAATGGTCTGTTCCCAGCTATGTAACATGCCTCGTTCCCAGCTATGTAACATGCCTCTTTCCCAGCTATGTAACATGCCTCGTTCCCAGCTATGTAACATGTCTCTTTCCCAGCTATGTAACATGCCTCGTTCCCAGCTACATATGTAACATGCCTCGTTCACAGCTACATATGTAACATGCCTCGATCCCAGCTATGTAACATGCCTCGTTCCCAGCTATGTAACATGCCATGTGTCCACATCAAAATAAGCCAAATGGACTTGTTATCTACTATCATCATGCTAACAATTACAATCAAACAGTTCAATCACATTTTTCAAGAAGTTCATATACTGAATCTCAAAATTGAAAAAAAGCAACTCATTCTTAAGAAAAATGTGTCGAAAATCATGTATATTAAGTAAAACTTTATGAGATGAGGAAGAATTTACTTTCAAAATGTTCAGATTTTAAAATAAGGTTTACTAATGACAATCAATGTACCTGACCAGATACATTTCTCAGCCACTACCAGAAGACTTCATTATTACTCACCCTTGCTGGAGAGTAACTTTCCAAATGGTCTGAGTCTAAACCTGGTTGATGTGTCCAGCTTCTATCCAATGTCACACAAACTGATGAATCATCAACCTTCAAAAATGTTTTAATGCTTTAGCAGATTGAACATAACATTAATCAGCAAAAATAGACATTTCATTTTTATTCAACATATTTACAATTGCATACACGTTTATTAAAGTTATCTAGCTTTGTTCAACATTATAGCCAGTAAGCTAGTATTGATTAATTATTCCTTTGTTATATTTTTCAATTTTCAATTTCAGTTTCCATTCAAGTTTGATAAACAAAATAACTTTTCACTGATAAAAAAACATCTGGATCCTCTGGAATACCTGAAACAAGAGGATTAACTTTTAACAGCATCTCAAATTTTTGTAGACAATATATTGTATTAATATTTTACAATAAAAATAATTTTGATTGTGATTCTTCAAAAGATGCTTAAACATGATAAATATTTTTATAATAAATTAAATAATTTGAATAAACTTTGAGGTGCTGTGAATTATTTTTTTCAATCCGTTCCATCTTCATATCTGAAAGAGAAACAAAATCAGTCATCAGTTCTCTGTTCTCCCACAATGCTGCCCTGCACTTTAATATCCTTTTTATGCCTTCTTGTTTCCGTATTCCTTGTTGGTGATGCTAGCTTGGCATTGGCCAGCTTGTGATGATGCTTCCAATGAATTGTAGCTGCCTTTCTCCGTGTCACAGGATTTGATCCTTGTAGGATTGTAGCTAGAGTAAAAATGGATTTCAGCAGAGCATACATTGGTACATATCGAGGTGTGAAGGTTAAAGCCATCCCTACATTCTCCAGCGCATAACCGTTAACCCAAACGTAAGGTGGTGGTAGGTTATTTTTCCGCATTATTTTCTATGCATTCATTTGGATTTTAAAATTATCACTAAAAGAGCATAACGTCCACATTCATCCAATAGCGTTCAAATAAATCAAGAAGATTCTCAAATTCATTAGAATATTTTGCTGTCCGAATAGCGTTCGGCTTAAGCTTTTTTTCCAAAGAAAAATCATCGGAACTATTGAGAATATAACGAACTTTTCTGCGCGCGACAAGATATTGGTAAAAAATCTTCATTTTCACGGCCTTCAATTTTTTTTTTTAAATTTTCTCACCTAAAACTTACAACATGGTGCGCACCGAAGGAGTTACCTGTCCAGGTGAAGTGATATCGTGCTGATGAAGTTCTCCGGGAGCTGGACAGGTGTTTTACTCTGTCCTATCGGAGCTCCTCTTGCGATTACATTGTATCCTGTCTGAGGGACACTTTTTGTTGCGATTACTTTCCGTGTTCATATCAAATGCTGTTGATATCCTTCTGTATTATGTTGTTCTGTGGAGCAAACACAGTCAGTGGCAAAACTACATGTACATACAGGGCACTTCGAATTTCTTAAGCATGTAAAATATTTAGGGTAAAAATTCTGGGTAAAGGAAACTGCTTTTATAACCTAAAACTATTTTTTTGTTTATTGTCCAAAACAGGTTTTATTTTAATATTCTGTTTTTGATTGTCCAATCAGAATATAGAAATATAGAACTCGTACTTCGACAACACCTACCATGGCTGAATGGATAATTCGTATGACGGCTTGATTTGACTGGGTGGATGAAAGGAGTGCTCTGGCACACCTCAAAACACATAGATATATAAGGAAATATTACCATCCTTCACATTCGGCGGAATCTTCATTCCTGTGGTGACAAGTAGGTATTTCTCCTTCGTTTGCTGCACATTTCAAATCTTTTCTCTTCATTCCTTCCGTATGTACTTTGTGTGATCTTACTGTTGTTCAAGCAATGGTTCCATCCTCCACTCCAGTAGTTTAGATTGATAACAGATAATTCAATGATGTGTCCAAAGATTTTTTTCCCCTGAATGTTTGACAACAGTTTTGCAACTATTAAAGACTACCAATGTTCAAATTTTTCTGAATGACAAAACAAAATTTCAACCCAAATAATTTTATTTGGAAATCAATGCCAATGGAAAGAGATCTCCAATAAAAGAATTTAAAAAAATCCTATGTTCAAGTATTTTAGAATTCCAAGCTGCAAAACTAAAGCATTCATTTTGTTTTAAACGCATCATTGGTTTATCAGACATGAATTCATTTTTCTCTTCCGAAGTTTTGAAGATTTCCAATATACACTGCTGTTGTGTACGTGCGAAATTTTACAAGTATTTGGTAAAATGCTGAGTATTTGCAATTTTTGACTAACTGTATAAATAATGCACTGTAGATTACTTGCACCAATTAAAACATCTTATTAATATGTAACATACGCACTGTAAAACTATAGAAAAATCAATTTACAAAGTAAAATAAGTGCAATATAATAATCTACAACCATAAAGTATTTAAATAACATCATTTGATAGCAATTCAAGCGAATTATAAAAAACATTAAGTGTTTCAATTACGGAATTTTTACAATGCAATGAATGTACATGCACAATTATTTTATAGAAATAAAAGGGATAAAACATCATTTTAGAGAACTATAATTGCGTTATTTATCAGAAGGTAAAGTTACAAAAGTTATTAGAAGTGATCTACAAAATATTTGATAGATATGTAAGTAATCTACAATACAAGTATTTCATAACAGCACCTAACAGTACTTTGAAGAAATATAAGCAATACACTGCTTTAAAGAAACTGAAACATTGCCATCAGTTAATGAGCTCATATAACAGCAGTACGCATTTCTTCCTACAGAACCGAGATTGAATGGATCCAAAATTGTAACAAAGACGCAACAGCAAATTACCAAAAACTGTAAACCCATACTTACCTCCGAGCACTAAATCTGATATTGTTTCCGATAACTTTCATTATTAACACTGCGCTTTGCTCCAGTTATTTCCTCTTGTATTTTATAACAGATAGTACGTTCCTGTGGGGACGAGTGTTAACTGTTGTCTATATAAACAACACTCTTTTCATCTTTTCCTCATATGTCGATCCAATATTGGTTGCATTTCAGAAATTATCAAGAACTTCTTCCCTACAATTCTTCTATCATTTTCAAATTCCAAAAAAATCAAAGCAAGTTCGGCAACTATTTTCGTTAATCATTTAAAAATTCTGAAAAGCATTTGAAATCAGAAATGTTATGCCGGTGAATCCATATCAAGCGATCTGTATCGACGACTGAAATAATCTTTTTGAACCAATGCAAAATTATTTTTAATTTAGAAGTTTAATTTTCATACTATTCATGAAATATGTCAGATTTTAACATATATATGTCTATATTTTTTTCTGCTTGCTTCGTGATGGATACGGTATGAAGTACGAGTATGAGTTGCTTCATATATTGCTTCACAATTTTATCACAATCGACACGGCATGTGGGTATGAGAATTAGCTGCTTCACAGTGAACGCGATAAGTGGATTTGAGAACAAGTTGAAATGCCTTGCAGACCCATTGTGCTTGGTATCGGTATCAATACGGTATCAAATTAAAATCCATTTTAAACTTCTGTTCAACTTCATACTGCTGCTTCGAAGCAAACAATGAATTTGTTAATTTTCAGACAGTTTTTCTAAAGCTGTATCACGTTTCATCCTTTGTTGCAGTTTACAATTCTCCTTTGTTGCCTTAAAATCGGTTTTTGTTTTCCAGTTGAATCAATTCTTGTTTTCCAGTATTTTGGTCCTTCTCGTATAATCTGATATTTTCATATGAGGTGAAACGGTCAAAACAACGGTTGTTTATACATTAAGACAATCTATTTATTATCAAAGGTTCACTACATAATGAATGTTGACAATCACAAGAATGATAATGAATGACAGTTTTACAACAGTTCTATACAAAAAATATGTAACCCTATGAGGATTGTTATTTTATCATATGGTGTTCAGTTTCTAACTTTTCCCACATCTATTATGAATACCTTGGGTTTCTGTCTCTTTCAAGTAACAATTCAATTATACTGAACCGATTAAAACTTCCATAATGACTTGTTATGACTTTTGAAATAAAAACCTATGTATAGAAAAAATTTAAAATGTCTTATTCACGAGTCACAATAGCTTTCTGCTCTTTACTTCATATAATCTTTTTAACTCTTGAATAAGGCAATGTCTCTCATTTTCTCTAGCCTAGACATTCAATAGTCCATGTCTCAACGCCTGAAAGGGGGTCCACCTCCCCTAGATGGAACGCCCGGGCGTGGTCTTTTAATTGGGGGTCCTCGCGAGTCTGATGGTGGCGGCGGGCGCCTACTTCCAGCCCCAAATCCATCCCTACTCCTGTCCTCCCTAGGAGGGGGTCCTCGGGAACCACCTGGTGGTCCCCTTTGGGGAGGACCCCGTGATGGTGGGGCTCCATGCGATGAGGGGGAACTGTACGGTCCTCCTCGGGAGGATGTCTGTCTTCCTGACATTCCATTGTCTCTGCTTGAACCTATATTGGTAGGAGATGGGAGAAACAAAATGCGACAAGTGCAATTAAATGCAATTCTATTTATTTTTTAACGTTAACGTAACAAATTCCTAAAATGCAGAGTTCATTCCAGTTGAAGAAACATCACTTTGCTTGCTGATGAAAACATGTTAGATTACATGTACGCCATACACCATCACTCAGCATGAACATTCTTAGTTAAAAATATCCTTCACTCGCGAGTAAATGTCTGAGGATTAGTAGTGTTTAAGATACTGGGAGGTATTTAGCACAAGTATAACAGATAAACGTTTTTATAATGTACAGTGATAACCTCGTTAATCAAGATACTGGTTTCTAATTCAGTCACGAATATGAAATTCACAGCACTATTGGAAGTTGGATCTCAATCCTTGTTGTACAAATCAAAATTTTCTTGTTAATAATTACATAATATATAAATGGTCACAAAAAATAGTTGGAGTTTCCAGGGGTGCACAATTTCATATTTAGAATACTAGCCCGCAGGATGATATTAAAAAGTTCCACTAGCCTGCCCTACATTTTCAAAGTAACTATTAAAATTTCACAATCTAGATATTTGTTACCCCCAGAATTCAGGCTAGTTGTATTTTGCATTCCTGATTTCTTTTAAACACTAGATAATCTAGATTATTTATTTTGATTTCTAGTGAGAATTGAAGTAGTGTCTAAATTCCTTTTGGCAAGTGGGTAATTTGTTTATTCTGATGATCAGAGAAAGAATTAAAGTTGTAACATTGCTGTACATTTTATTTTTTTTGTAGCTGTAAGTTTTTGTTTTTGGCTACTTTTACCTGACAAACTGATTATAAGTTGAAATAATACTTAGGCCAAAAAAAATTAATTACTTGGTTCTCAGGCCAATTTTCTTTTGAAGAGATCATGAGGCAGGAAGGTATATTTCTTTTTTCATTTTACATGGCAAAAATGAAACGAGGGAGATTTTTTTTTTATTCCAAACAACCGTGAAGTTTGTAAAACGTTCATTGTGGACATTACATTGTCAAATGTGTCCGATTTTTGTCGCCCAACACACACAAATACTTTATCAGAACAGAGTTTATCTGGGAACGACCATTTTTTATAGTTGTGTAGAGACCTGTCACGGAGCAAGCCTCCGAAAATCCTCCCACGATGTACCAGGGAGGAATCACGGACCCCTCCATTCCTTATTTGTACCGAAATGTGCGCCATTTGTACACAAGATTAATAAGTCATAATCGTTTCAACGCTTGCCTGTATATCATTATTCATACGTTTTCGGGACTTGGGTGACCAACGAGTAAAAACAACACGCGGACCAATTTTCCAGATTTTTTTAAAGAAGGTTTTCAAGATTTTTTATTTATTACTTTCACGATAAAATCGGCAATGCAGTGCCCTAAAATGAAATGTGCGCGGGCCTGAGAACCAAGTAATCATATTTTTTTGGCTTCAATATACGCGTCTGGAATGAACTCTGGTAAGTGACAATTTGTCATGACAGTTGGGTATGATATTATATTTATAGGAGGCTCTTCAGAATTCATATTGCAAATGCATAAATTAGAAGCTTTATTTTTCGGTACTAAGCCTGAATGTTGACAGTTTGAACAAACTTATTCCATATTTTTTATAAACCGTTTTCAATTTTATAGCAGATGCATGCACTGTTATTGACTATTTATGAAATAATATTGAAATATGGTCACATTTTCATACTTATCTGTTCCGAGAAACCTAGAAAGTTCACATCTGGTGTTAACTCCTTACGATCTACACTGTGAAGATGATAGGAATCCATTGCATTAATTTTAAGGCCTTAAAAGGTTCTCAAGAATCCACCATCGTAACTCGCGTCCTGTAGTCTTTGACATGACATGTCACGTTGAAATTCCACTCAGTAAAAAAGCTCATACAACTCGTTTGTCTAGTGATCCTCAGATTTTTGCTACGAAATTTAAAACCGGATTTTTCAACAAAATACATTTGTAATCCATCCTCCTCAGATATTATGGTTGTATTGAAAGGTAATTTCCAAGATTTTGCTCGGTGGTTCACAGATTTGCGTTGAAAAGCTACTTTCACACTCTCGTTTTCCATTGTTTCTTACGAGGTGGGTTGAAGAGATTAATCCCGTTTGATGCTACATATCCCTGTGATCCTGGTACAAGTGTTCAGGTTTTTACTGAAAGCAAGACATGTAAAAGCAAACCATATTTTGTCACAGAATCTAAAAGTACTTACCACCACCACCTGTGCTACCAAATCCACGGCTAGGAGGCCCACTTGGTCGTGAAGGTGGACCACTCTGACGTCCATTTTCTGAGGAAGAAGTAATGGTTTCTATCCTTATACAGTACAACCAAGTTTAAACATAAACCATAACTGGAAATATGTCTCTCTTCTTCATGGTTTTTTTTTCATGGTTAGAGAGGCAATTAATACAAGCATTACTTGGCTTCACCTAGCACTTCTTAATACATTTGTACAATAAATGCATGTTAACATGCCCCTTATATTAATAATTAACATGTAATATGCAAGGTAAATCCATTGTAATATGTAATATAAGTCCACTGTAATATGTAATTTAAGTCCATTGTAATATGTCATTTAAGTCCATTGTAATATGTCATTTAAGTCCATTGTAATATGTAATTTAAGTCCACTGTAATATGTAATATAAGTCCATTGTAATATGAAATATAAGTCCATCGTAATATGTAATTTAAGTCCATTGTAATATGTAATTTAAGTCCACTGTAATATGTAATACATGTCCACTGTTATATGTAATATAAGTCCAATGTAATACGAAATATTAGTCCACTGTAATATGTAATTTAAGTCCATTGTAATATGAAATATAAGTCCATTGTAATATGAAATATAAGTCCATTGTAATATGAAATATAAGTCCATTGTAATATGTAATATAAGTCCACTGTAATACGAAATATTAGTCCACTGTAATATGTAACTTAAATCCATTGTAATATGAAATATAAGTCCATTGTAATATGAAATATAAGTCCATAGTAATATGTTATATAAGTCCACTGTAATACGAAATATAAGTCTACTATAATATGAAATATAAGTCCATTGTAATATGAAATATAAGTCCATTGTAATATGTTATATAAGTCCACTGTAATACGAAATATAAGTCTACTATAATATGAAATATAAGTCCGCTGTAATTTCGACGGGCGTGTAATAATAAGTGTGATTTTGTTCCAGTGACAGTAATCACTTGAATGGTTAATACCTCTGTAAGAATCGTATTCTCTGGATGGTGGAGGACCTCTATCGTATTCACTTCTGGAAGATACCGTTCTATTCGTACTGAAGTCTCTTGAATAGGAACTACTGAAAAATGAATATATTTTCGCTGTTATTTTTGTTATTAGATAAAAAATGTGACATTATCAGAGGCCTGGTTACAATGCATCCATGGACAAAATAAATAGTAAATTAAGTTGTGTTTGCTGCAGATAGATCTCAATGTTTAATATTTTGGGATATAATATCAAATTTGGAAAAAAAATAAGTAAATCTCACTGTAATTATGGAATGTGGCAGAATTCTGGCCCTAAATATACTGACAGGTAAAACCTTGACACAATGCCACCATTTTCATTATTTTTAAATCTTAACTTTAATTCTTCAACAACATTATAACAAGAGAGGAATCTTCATTAATGACTACCTTACTTTTATGGTCAAAATGTTTGGTCATGGTGTATTTTTGTATATTTGGGTATACATTTTTACTCCACATGGTTTAAACTAAAATTAAAGATTACGGGTATGGGACAAAGAAGTGAATTTTAAAAGGTTGCTTCAAGAAGCTACCACAACTTACGTTGATAGTCCGTACTCTCTGCTGGCTGGTTCTGATCGGAATGAGTCACGACCACCACTGTATTCATCTCTAGGTGACAGTATAGGGTCCCTGCTCGGAGCTCCAAAGCTGCTTCTACTGGGGGCAGCACTAGTGTAGGAATCCCGGCTTGTCATTCCATAATCTCTGTGATGTCAGATATATAGGTTATATTATCACAGTTGTTTTGTTTATACTTACTTCATATTGCACTTCAGTAGAAAATTGCAGTCGAATCTTTTAAGAGACATAAAAACCCAGTAAAGAATGGTTAATGTACTGACAGGAATATTTTCTACGGTGTAGTATGTAAGAAATGTGAAATGGTTGCATAAGTGGGCGAGACAGAACGCTCATTAAAAGAACAGTTCGAGGAACATGTGAGAGACGTTCGACTCAAGGCAGAAAAAAACAATCAGTAGGCGTTTCCTTCACCATTCAGTCAATGCTGTTGGGGTGAGGGTGCTACAGGGAGTACACAAGGAAGGCAGGTCATATAGACTGTTAATTGAGGACATACATGTATGGATAAGAAAATGTAACACCAAATTTCCATATGGGTGTAATATACAGAAGAACTTCTAATGGGAGAAACATGGCTCTTAAGTTCTTAACATTGCATTGACATTTTGTTTTTGATGGCGTGCTATTATGACGTCATATATTTAATGAGTCATTGCGACAATTGTATGTCATTTCCTGTACCTCCGAATAAGTAAGATGGACGTTACTTGAAACAACCATTGACTTTCACCCTTGAAGAAGGCCAGGAGGCCGAACTATTGCGATTCAGAGTGAGTTTAGATGAAATAGAATAAAATATGTCACGTCAGAAAAAAAATAAAAATCAGTACGAGATTGGCAAGATGTAAAAAAATATATATATTGAGATTGACTTGTGAAAATCAAGTTGATGATAGAGAATTATGTGCTGTGCAATTTTTCTTAATTACATAAAAAGCTATTTTTTCTGAATTGTATGCAGTAATTACTCCTCAGTTTCACTAGATATATAGTTTAGACAACAGAATAATTAAAACTAAGGTTGACTGACCAGAGGACATACAATGGGCTGATTATATAAAACTAAGGTTGACTGACCAGAGGACATACAATGGGCTGCTTATATAAAACTAAGGTTGACTGACTAGAGGACAAACAATGGGCTGCTTATATAAAACTAAGGTTGACTGACCAGAGGACATACAATGGAATGCTTAGACAGAGATGACAACTACATGTTCCAATTGAAAAATGTCTGCACTGTCACAATTGTATCTTTTGCTTACTGTTTAATTTGATAATGTTATATTTGATGTTGTCTTAGAATGGGCACTGGACTGCAAGTCAAATTACAGTAGTACATTCACCCTGATACAGTGATAAGCTGGTATTAATCCAGCTTGGAGTGTAAACCAACATCATTTATCATGTAATAAATCTTTTAACTCTGGAATAATCAATCATGTTCATTTTAATAAAGGTATTATCTGTTTCAAAACTGAAAACAGGCTTTACATAAAACATTTACAAAAATTCTTGGGATTTGAGCATGACTTACCTTGAATATTCATAGCTTGTGCTAAAAAGAAAACGAAGAAAGAAATTTAGTTTTAATGCCAATTCTCAATAAATGTAACATATCGAAAACAAATGAAAATGGAAACGGGATTCTGTGTCTCATTTCATATTTCAACAAAAGAAAACTCCAGTATGAAGGAACGAGTTTAATATCTTATGGTCCATACACACACTCACAAGAGAGCTACCTTACTATGGTTTAATATCTAATGGTCCAAACACACACCCACAAAAGAGCTACCTTACTATGGTTTAATATATAATGGTCCATACACACACACACACACAAGAGAGCTACCTTACTATGGTTTAATATATAATGGTCCATACACCCACCATCAAGAGAGCTATATTTTACTATGGTTTAATATCTAATGGTCCATACACACCCACAAGAGAGCTACCTTACTATGGTTTAATATCTAATGGTCAATACACACCCACAAGAGAGCTACCTTACTATGGTTTGATATCTAATGGTCCATACACACACACACACACACAAGATACCTTTACTAAGATTATTATAGCTATGTGTCCACTGAAATGCAACATGTAACAAATAAAACAGGAAACAATATTCTGAAAAAAATTTCTTATTAAATATTTTAACAAAATTTCAAATGCCAGAGAAAACTCATTGATCCCTTACAAAAACATTCACACCTTCATAGTTATTTTTACGATACTCCATGTGTCTTTGTGTTTGTGGGAGTGTTAGTAAAATTGCAGAACAATGCTTTAAGGGTGAACGTTAACAAATAATTTCTGAAGATAATTCTTTTCAGAAGCATGCATATGCAATTAAAATTACAAATAAGGTACAGTAAAGCCTAATTGCTACCATTCATTTTGGAGTAATGGTTCATACACGGAAAACATTTTAAGCAACATTTATTCCCTCCTCCTCCTCCTTTGATAACAAAAGTTACTCCTTCCTCCTTTTTGAAAAAGAAAACTTATTTTTTTCATCCATGAAATAACCAGAGTGTCTTTTAATATGGATCTACTGAAAAGCACACAAACAGATGGGATGGAGACGCACCTGGCAGGGGCTCTGTCACGTGCCGCTGGAGGAGCTCTGTCCCGGGGCCCAGGAGCTCGGTCGTAGCTGCTGTAGCTATCCCTAGAGGGATAGTCTCTGGATGGGGCAGGTGGTGAGTATTCCCTAGCAGGAGGAGGGTAGTCTCGTGAGGTTTGTGGATAATCTCTAGCTGACCCACGACTTGGGGGCATGCGACTGCAAAACATAATTTGGAACAAACGCTACAGACAAAATATCATGCTGTTATTGTAAAACAAACACTGATGTGGCATTCTTATCAGAAACATTCTACGCAACTTCAAAAGCTGTTGTTAGCAAACTCTTATAAGGGGATATCAAACTGGATTGAAAACACTTATTCATGCGTTTTGATCACTGATTATATACATAAACATATAATTTTTAAGACTACAATCTCAAATTATTGTTCCGTTGTATAATTGATATGATACAGTGCCGTGGAAACAGCTACATACACATTAGTTGTTATTTGATCCCATGAAAAAAATATACAAATCAGATTAGGGCTATACTACATATGACTATATAGGATAAAAGCTGAGAACTGGTCAGGAATTGACTACAGCAAGGATAAACAGGCTAAAACTACATCCTTTCTGCAATTTTTAATGAAAGAAGATTGAAGAGTTTTTGTCTTTCTGATCAGATAAGCATTACTCTTACATCTCCTCTGATTTGTTTGCAATAGATAAACTGAATTTTCATCCTTATAGCTATGACAAAACATTTTTACTTCCATTTATTTTGCCATTTTATTCAATCTTCTAATAAACATTTTGGTAATAATCACAACAGAAGTTAGTGTGTGTTTTTACCTGTCTGCGGGAAGAGGACCCCGACCGTAATCACGTGTGGGGGACGGATACGAATCCCTCCGAGGAGGTGCTCCTCTATCCATTCTTTCTGGTCTCTCCATTCTGTCCATCCGGTCCATTCTGTCCATTCGGTCAAAACTATTCCCAGCATATCTATCCCCTTCTCCTGAAAGTACCACAGGAAGATAGTTAAACATTCCCGAAGTTTTGAGAGAACTAGAAATATGTCAAATGGACATTATGCTGTCCCTGTCAGGTCTATATTGAGAGAAACATTGTACCACCCCTAATCTTCTTAAACTAAACATAAATATAGAGTGAAATATACAGTGGTTGTCTAGTTGACAGAGCTGAAATACTGTTTCTATTGGACTTATTGCAATTTGAAAACTTGTCAGCTGGTCGAGAAATTGAACAAGAGGTCCATTGGACCTGTATCGTTCACCTGGTTTTATATGTAAGTCATTACAACTGAATGCACTAGTACATCTTTATATGAAATTTCCTAAAACCAGACAAGATCTATGTTCTAACCCAACTGGGACCACAATATCTGACTTTCAACTAATCAGGGGCCTCCATTGAGTTGCCACGTTAACAGATTTTGAAATAAGTAATATGTCATATTACAGGGTGTAATCAGACAATACTTTAACTTACATTCAACTATAAGCTTTTATAAACCTAGATTACCAATTTTTAACAATTTATGAAAACTACACCATAGAATATGATAATCTAGCTGTACCATTTCTTAGGCAAGTCAACCTCATTCAATTAAGAAATGTATGTTCTTACTAAATGATGTTTTTGACCAAATTTTGTACAATCCACTAAGGCAATTAGGGGGTATTAGCGTGTTAAAGCAAAATTTTAGATAATTTCCCTTTTTGGGCCCGGCCTACCTAGCCCCAGGGGTCGAACCAGCCTCATTTATTTAGGAAATTATTGCCCTCCCCCAATGAAGTTTCAGAGCGAAATTGGTTAAAATCGTCTCTGGTTCAGTGAAGCACTGTTAAAGTCAAGATCACTTTCCTATATAAACCATATAAAAGTATTATTAAAATAAAACTTGTTACCTGCCTTCCTACCCTTAATTTTTCAACATGTTAAAGGAAACCTTTATTTTGTTGTCTGGCCTTATTTTGTATCTTAATCCTTACCTCGTCTTGGTGGAGTGTCATGTGATTGGGGAGGTCCCCTTCTGGCACCTGATCCAAACATGGATCGTTCTGATCTATCTGGTCCACTCTTAATGCCCATTGGTTTCCTATCCTCGAACGAATCTCTGCCATAGGAACTGTACGAACTACAAAATAAACATCATGAGGATATTCATTGCTCACCTTGAAATTTAAGCAATCAATCACGGAAAAATATATTTTTGACCCCAGTCTGTTTCCATATTATGACCCTGGGTAGATATAGTCCCAACCAGTAGGGCCAGAACACAGCACAATCCTGGTAGCATGACTGTGTTTGTCTCTGTTTGACCATGTGTCACGGCTGTAACCAGGTAATTTATCACCCATTTTGTGGCCCAACCACTCCGCCCCCTTTGGGTTGAATCCTCTATTTTTCGGTATTCATTTCCTATGGATGTTTCCGACAAAATATGATTCTTCCAGCACATAGTTCCAGAAGACAGCCTGTTTAAATATTGCTACATCACCCTCATTTCTGCCCAGTCTCCAAGCCTAGACCTCCAGCCCAACCCTTCCAGGGGGATTGTAATTTAATCCTCCACCACCAAAGAATATCTTACAGTCACATTTGATGAAATTCTGTCATGCAGTTCAGAAGAAGAAATTTTAAGAGATTGTTGACAGTCAGACAGCCAACAGACACTACAATATAGCTTAAGCCAACTATGGTCCTCTGGATCAATTGAAATGTATAACGCCACATACTACAAACATGTAATTGCAATCCCAAGAAAAATGTTCCATAGCAATAAACACACGAAAGAGCGAGTTTTCAATTTTGAATTATGTCACAGTCTTAGTACAGCAAAGTAATGCAAACACTGAATGATTTAAATGATAGTAAAGGAGAAAGAAAAATTTGAAATACCTTCCACCACCACCCCCGTATCCTCCACGACCCCTGGGAGCCCCACGACTTCCTCTATAACTTCCTCCTCCACCCCGCCTTTCAACACCACTTCCTCTACGGGGCCCCATAGAGCTGCCACCCCTTGTGGGGCCTCCTGGTCTGGGTGCCCTCATCCTTCGGTCTCTGTCAGAGCTGGAGCGGCGTCTAACTGGAGACCTGCTGCGTGCTTTACTTCGGACAGACGAGCTGCGACTTGCCCTAGCTCGATGAGGCTTGGTCGCTTGTTCTACGTGAATAGTCTTGCCCTTTAGTTCCTGCATATAAATGTTTTCTGTTATAAGAGTCAAACACAAATCCTTGTAGCCATCACCTTTTAGCTAATCATAAAGATAATATCGTTAAGTTCAATAGATATACACTTACAATAGCACTTCAGTGCTTGTCATAGTAGACACTATAAGATTTTCAAAGAAACATGTTCCTTTTTGAAGACTCAAACAACAGCAGTCATAAAAATATCACAATAGAATACAAAAATATAAGAAGATCCTGTGTTACATATACTGTAAATTAAATGTCCCTGTGTCACCATACAGGTTCAATGATATAAATACCTGTCCGTTCAAAGTCTTCACTGCGTCTTCACCATCCAATGGGTTCTCAAATGTGACAAAACCAAATCCCCTTGATTTATTATTTCCTTTGTCTCGTATCAAAATTGCTGCAGAAGAAATAAATATATACGTCATCCAATTGGGAGCATTAGCATAATTTATTGAACATGTACACAAGTCGTCAAAGCTTTTGATGATAAACTTACAAAAGCCATCACTGCAATGCAGCATGCATAACTCAACAGAAAATCAATAATCCTGCCCTTGATAGATATATATATATGATATATATATCAAACCCTAAAAGAGCACACAAAACCAAACCATTTACCCTAAATTATATAAAATAAATCCAAATCACAAGATAAAATGTTAATTATTTTTACAAAAATACTTACTTTCCGTCAACCGGCCGAATTTAGAGAATTTTTCTTCCAGTGCTTTTTCATCAACATCTGTAGGTAATCCTCCAACAAACACTTTGCCAGGTCGATCTTTTTCTATTGCATCACTCGGCATCAGGGTCTGCAAGGAGATGAAGAACCATTCAGTGCATCTTAAAAATGTCTTTAACAGGTTATATCAATATCCTGTTAACTATTGATGAGTTTACTGCATGACATACTCATAAGGGATGTGACTATTCCATCAAAGTAAAAGAATACCAACTAAATTTTCCTTTGAATGCAGACATGTGATGTGTTTAGTTTGTTAAGTAATTGTACACTTGCTTTGATTGATCAGACATTCAATGAAATAATACATTTTCTACCCCAATATGCTGTGTTATTCCACTCTCAGATCATTGTATAAACTTGCAGACAGTTAGATAAATATGAGTTATATACCACACGTGGTACATGACCTTTCAGGCTTTTGATTGGACGAGAAGATGAACTTTGACCGGGAAGACTTTTTCCATACGCTTTTTGCCACATGCTATTTATTTTAAGTCGTCTGCTGTCAACATCCAGCAAATGTTGGTGACTTTGTGAGGTTACGCAATGGGGAAAATGGGGTTATTATTAAGTAATATTAAAAGAAGATGATATTTAAAGATTTGATCCCTAGTTTCAGGCCAAATTGCTAGACGCTCGATATCGTTTTGACGTCACACCGTCGTGTGTCCAGGTCATGAAACTAAATCAAGGTCTGTCACAGTGTGGGGAAATATTTCGTTCTCCCAACGTCCCGTTATCGCTATTTGGAGGGTTTGACTATGGCTGAACTTTTACTATAAACGTCAACCATATGCATAGAACCTTCATGAAGAAACGTCCCAGGCCTATGGTTTTGGACATTGACAGTGATTAGTTAGTTTTCATCACTTGGCAGGAGGCAGATTTCGTACGATATGCGTACACGCATCTAGTCAGCGGTCAATTTATATACATATATTAATGCAATACTGCATATTCTCAATACTTAAAGACGTTCATCTACTATATTTTTTCATGAAGTTGTTGCCAAAACATTTATTTTGACAATTATTTAATTTGTAAAAAAAAAAGTCATTTTTGAATATTAATGAGTTTCTTTTTTTACATGGGTCATATCACTACGCCAGCCTTGTCAACAAATACATGTGTGTATGTTATTCAAATTGGGTCACACTCCAGCTGTTTCCGACTGAAATTGTGCTAGAAACAGATCACACGACTCGTGGTTGAGTATGGTATTTATTTCACCCTCGTTAGTTAATTTTCAAAAGTTACAGAAAGACACTCGCTAAAGCTCGTGTCTTTTGTAACTTTTTAAAATCAACTTACTCAAGTGAAATAAATTCTATATTCAACAACCACTCATTGTGAAACCTCTATATATATTATATCAAGGATCTGATTATTCATCCATATGGGCTGAAAATTTGCCCCATTTCTAATGGAGACTATCAAAACTGACTTTTATTTTTTTAATATCTCAACTTGTACTCTGATGAAAATGAAACTTTTAAATGAAATAATTACAGTACATTGTACCGGTTTTGAATTGATTTAAAATGTTGATTTTCCAAAATTAAAGTTCAGGTGATGATCAGGGGCCTTTTTGCCTATACAATAACGCTCGCTGGTAAATTCCCTTTGTGTAGTAAATAGGTTCAAACTTTTCTATAATGCCAATGTTTTATATCATAAGTATCCAACTCAAACATAACTAGGTTAGGCCATTCACTAGCAATATATCAGTCAGCAAAAAATAGGTCCATGCATCAACATCTTCATCGTGCATGTCTCGATTTAAAAAGTAATACTAATAGCTGTATCCAAATTTTCTATCATTTTCACCATCCTCTAAATCTTTTCCATCACCAATAAATTTATATATATATGCATACATTGTGTTATTAACAAATTTGAAAATTTCAACTAATATCTATATATATAAAACTAGTTGCATTTCTTGCTACAATTGGAGCCAGTTAACATATACATATTATATCTAGCTAGAAAAGCTTTGAGATCTATTTCCATCTTTCACAAACGTGCACTCGGGTTTTTATATATAGAAAGTCTCATCTATTCCATCAATACCCAAAAACCAATGAGTACACGTGTCCCTTAAATTTGAAGATGTTTTAGCCATGAAACATGCCAATGAGATTGTATAAAACCCAGTTCCTGTACTAAATCCATGTTTAGTTGTTAAAAAGTTTAGTGCTTTAAATTTTGTCTTCAAAAATCTGTGCCAAATTCACAGTTAACATTATTTTTTTCAACAAATTTCAAATTATGCCCACAACAATATCACCAGTCATACACTCATTAAGATTTCTAATATAAATAAATATTCCCCGATTCCGTCAGCACCATCACCCTTTTCTCAGTTTACTTTCATGCAAATTGTGATCTACATAAAACTTGTACATACATTTCAGAGGTGATCTAGGAAAGCCAAAAATGTGAACTCTTTATACTGGAATTTAGATATGTTTACCTACAAAAAAAAGAGAAGAGTATATAATATGTATACTATTTGCTAATGGCTGGACAATTTAGAATGACCTAGACATTGTTCCTGGATGTGCAGTGTTGATGTACCTTAAAATAAGTATGTACTTTGCAAAAATATGCTAAGCTATTTTTTTAGGTAGAACTATATTCCATGAACACTGTACAGCATATCACCAGAAAAAAATCATTGGTCATCCATTAAAAAGTACAAATATAACTTTTATGCATATATATGTTCCCCAGTTTCAGTAATATTGCATGTCTGGTAACCTTGATTTCCAGTAGCAGATTTGTAGTTGAAGTTATAGCCTTGCTATGTCTGGTTCTTCTTCATTTTTAACGGGGGAGGAAATGGACAATCAGTCAAGGTTCTACAGTCCATACTAACAAAGTCAAACATATGATTTAGGAAGTTAATCAGTACCAGTCTGAAGCTAAACAGTACCAGTCTGAAGCTAACCAGTACCAGTCTGAAGCTAACAGTCCCAATCTGATCGAAGCTAATCAGTACCAGTCTGCAGCTAATCAGTACCAGTCTGAAGATAATCAGTACCAGTCTGAAGCGAATCAGTGTACCAGTCTGAAGCTAAACAGAACCAGTCTGAAGCTAACAGTACCAATCTGATCGAAGCTAATCAGTACCAGTCTGAAGCTAAACAGTACCAGTCTGAAGCTAACAGTACCAATCTGATCGAAGCTTATCAGTACCAGTCTGAAGCTAAACAGTGCCAGTCTGAAGCTAATCAGTACCAGTCTGAAGCTAATCAGTACCGGTCTGAAGCTAAACAGTACCAATCTGAAGCTAGTCAGTACCAGGCTGAAGCTAATCAGTACCAGTATGAAGCTAAACAGTACCAGTCTGAATCTAAACAGTACCAGTCTGAAGATAAGAGTCCCAATCTGATCGAAGCTAATCAGTACCAGTCTGAAGCGAATCAGTGTACCAGTCTGAAGCTAATCAGTCTACCAGTCTGAAGCTAAACAGTAACAGTCTGAAGCTAAACAGTACAGGCTGAAGCTAACAGGACCAATCTGATCGAAGCTTATCAGTGCCAGTCTGAAGCTAAACAGTGCCAGTCTGAAGCTAATCAGACTGGTACTGATTAGCTTCGATCAGATTGGGACTGTTAGCTTCAGACTGGTACTGACAAGCTTCAGACTGGTACTGATTATCTTCAGACTGGTACTGATTAGGTTCAGACTGGTACTGACTAGCTACAGACTTGTACTGATTAGCTTCAGACTGGGACTGATTAGCTTCAGACTGGTCCTGACTAGCTTCAGACTGGTACGGATTAGCTTCAGACTGGTACTCCCTAGCTTCAGACTGGTACTGACAAGCTTCAGACTGGTACTGATTAGGTTCAGACTGGTACTGACTAGCTTCAGACTGGTACTGATCGAAGCTTATCAGTACCAGTCTGAAGCTAGTCAGTACCAGTCTGAAGCTAATCAGTACCAGTCCGTTGAACTTTCAGGTCTAGCAAGATTAGGGGAAAATGCAACATTACACAAAACATAGTGGCCATGGTATGTACTTTCTTTTTGTGTTTTAAGAATATTTATATCTTTAAATCAGAACCAAATTTTTTAAATTATATTATAAGTATGATAGAGAATACATAAGTCAATAATCTGATACATTTGTTTCAAATTTATTTTCCACAAGAATGTTAAGATTATCAGTCACAGTATCGCTCTAACAATGAACTACGACTCACACAGCTAGGTGATGCCAGGTGGGTTTTAGGGTATCTGAGCAAGAAGGTGGGGATGGCGGTGAGAAACAAGGAACAAAAGACAAACACATTTCGGTAATCAATGTCGGGCCATAGCCTGCAACAGGGGGTCAAGGGAGGGGGAGGCCAGTTGCCCTGCCCCCTCGAGCTCCCCCACACGTTTTCATGCACACAGCTTTCCATCTTCAGAGGATTCACACTAAAATCCCATTTTCATTTTGCTCCCCCGTCTCTCCCCATTAAGTAGTTGGCCTAGGCTACAGCTATTAGCATAACTCTGCAGATATATGCCTCGTGTAAAATCAACAGCATCTGTCAAATAGCTTTCTGATGACGAGAGATATATTTTATATATTGCGACATCAGAGCTACGAAGCGGTCCTATGCCAACTAATGGAACAAAATCAAAATTGCTAATCTGCAAGATTACATATTATTTGTGTCTCATATGAGTATGTTATCAAAATATTGCATAATTGTGAAAAAACAAATCCTTACCAATGCAAAACACTCTTTCACAACATTAGCAAAATCTGTCTTTGGGTCAAATAGAAACGACCGCCATGACAGATCACGCGCAATGTTATCTCAATTATCCTTTCCATATATTGCCTGCATGGCCAAATATAGTATTACTACTGATGCCGCCATGTTTATTATTATTTCCATATTGGGTCATGACACCCATATTTAGATGTCTGACCTCTATCGGAAGAGAGACAAACTTTCCAACATGGCGGTCAATTCAGATTTGTATTACGCTTGCTACGTTAGCTTGAAAAGTTAATGACATTTTAGGGAGAGTTTAACTTCAAGTTATACAGGATATCAACAGAAATTGTTCATACTACAACCCTATTTATGGATGCGAACCAATGTGTTGTCAATTTATTCTAAAATCACACCGGGCTTGCTCCATCAGGTCCAGTACACTCTGCCGATTGAGCTATATAGCTATATTCACCTATACATTATAGCTGTATTGAGCTATATTTTCTCAGATTTCAAATCTCTTTAAATTAAAGCAAAGTCGCATTAAACAGTAAGGTTTATGGTAATGTTGACTACAAAAAGCATAGTTAGATGTATATTTTAATTTTTCATAAATGTAAAATTTCCGATTGTTTTACATCATTATTTTTTAAAAAGAATACCTTTATTTGATGTCTTTTGTTATCACCCTAATGATAGTCTTATTTTTAAAAGCAACTTTGTTTCGTTTTCCTTAAAAATGAAAATCACATGAAAATAGCTCAAAAGACTTACTTCAGATAGGTCGATAGAGCTATTATATATGTCTTTACAGCTATATAGCTCAATCGGCAGTGTACTGGACCTGTCCATTACAAGAAATTGGATCGATTTAATACCCAGCCGCGCATAGGAGGCTGGGTATTAATATAAGTACTACTAAAGTGTGTTAATCTGACGTTGTTGGTAAGAGGAAACTTGAAATGACAAATGGAGGGTGGGTTGATTCTCAGTAAAAGATTAGGTTAGCTAGCTGGTAATGATCAGTAAAATAATAGGTTAGCCTACCTTCTATACTGTTTATACTTGAATATAACTTCACAAATTTGTATCTAATGTCATAAAGCATATCTTCTTTGTTTTGCATTGATTCGTGCTGTGATCGATCTGGACACGGAACAATACCGAAGTATCGAATTTCACGGAACCGGCAAGTCTACTTCTTTGTATCGTCATTTTTCATCTTTCTCAACAATTTTACTTAAGCTAATGTCAAGAGTGTTAAAAGCCTATTGCAAGTATGAATACGAAGGAAACTATTCGTGGCGTCCCACTTATCTTTCAAACACCGAAGTCGGCTTTACAAATTAGCCATGCAGCACGATGCTCCATATTAGGCTTATATCACTGATGTTTTCACACAGTTACGCCTTCATTCCCCTAATACATATATGTCTACGTACAAATATACGAACAGTGTGGCTCCATCCGATTGCTTTAGTGTATTTAAACCCAAAGCATGGACGTTTTATGTTACTTACAATCTGTTATCACATTATCCAATATGGAGGATTTGTAGAAACTGCCGGATGTTGCGCATGCCGGTGAACGCGTCTGAGCTTTGTTGAGACTCGGCAATCTCCGTCAGAGCACGAACACGTACGAACAACAAAGTCATAGTCTGTTTCAGATAAATTCAACAACTTACGTTTATAAAAACATTTAGTATTTAATGTTCTGAAATAAAGATTTATGTATGTGCACCACGGAATTGCCTTTTACGACCGTGAGGTTAAAATTAGTATAAAAATATAATTGACACATTCATAACATTAACAATAACTAGTAAAAAAAGACAGAAAAACAAAAAAATAAATATTGTAGGATAACAGAAGTGAATTTTAACAAATAGATAAAGAACATCTAGATAATCTAGTTATTCTACGGCTCATTTCAAACTTATAACAATGCAATCTATTTAATTACTCATTTAAGGAATGACCAAGATTTTGTTTTGGTATATACGGGATATACCGAAAAAAAATTGTGCACTTTGCATAAATCTGCGAAGCGGTTTATGCAAAAAAGGGCACAATTTATTTTCGGTATATACCAAAACAAAATCTTGGGCATTCTTTATAATTTAATTTAAAAATAGTAGACAAACACGTTGTAAATGCACAGTTAAAGATTTATTTAATTTTTACGTAAACTAAACAATTGCGCTAAAAAAAATGCGTTGTAATTTTGCATTCTGAAGTGTAAAAAGTAGTTCCGTCATCAGTTGTTTTTCTTTTTAGGTATATACGATATATACCAAATAAAACATTATGGGGGAGATAGGCAAAATTAAATTATTTATGTTTATCTATCTATTTATATGTTTATTGATATAGATCAGTATATAATATATAAATCAAGTAATCTATCAACAGCTGAGATTTTTCACCCACTTTGAATCAAGATAAAACAACGAAATCATTTTTTTCTGCACAATTTTAAGTGTAATCAATTAAATAAAAATCTTGTGTAATATTGATTATGGGAATTTAACTCAGTAGTAGTTTCGCAAGAACAACTAGAAAGTACGTTATAGAAATACCAAAAAGTCGTATATTGAATAATTACTGAATTATCATTATGACTTAACGACATTCTCAAGTTAAAGATACTTAAAATAGATTTTCTTGCGTTTTTAAATATATAGAATAATACAATCTAATCTCAACAGCATTGCAAGTTTATGACTAACTGATTAAAGTACGGTATTTAATTTTCGTACATGACTCGTAACCAATATGTTGCCTATTCACAATACGATGATCAATTTTCAAAGTCGTCCAGCAGGGTTTAAAGTTGGAGCTACAATTGTATTTATGTTCAAATTGAACAAGATGCCCATTTTACCCTTTTCAGTTTACAAATAACACATGCAAATGGTTAAAGTCTGGTTAAATTATGTCCCATATTAAAACAGGGTAACCAGTGATTACCGCCATTTATTCAAAGCTGAACCTCAAGCAGAGTGGAGCAAGCACCAACTGATTTGGTTCAACACCAAGACCAAAAGCGAGGTATCGCAGTTTTAAGACGTCGGGAAACAATTCGAAAAATTGCAGAGAATTAACAAAAATAAATCCGGGTATATCGGCCTTTAGTAATCCGCTGTAAGTCTGTGTATTTTCTATGACTTTATGTCAGGGTAAAGTAACTGCGGTCTGATTGGTTAAATAGATAAGTAATAAACAGGCCCTGAGAAATGAGTGGCGGCACATAGGGGCGTCTGTAAAACATAAATACAGAATTTAAGTTAACCAGAATAGGTTTTCCGTGCGGCCGAACAGATGTAAAAAAAAAAAAAAAAAAACAGAAAGAAGAAAATTTAAGAGTCACCCGTATGTGATTGCACTTACAAAATACGGTGATATAATACATACAATATGCCAAACTGCAGCAGCTGATTTGTTCTGTTCAAATTAATTAGAAATCTGCTCCAAAAGTCCAAGTGGCGAACACGTAAATGGTGAATTCGAAGTACAAAACTATAATGAATACCTACTGACAGAAACATTTATCAAGAAACATACTAACCACCATCATCTCATGTAGTCTGGTTCCTATCATAAAAACAAACATCTATGTAGACAAAGTCAGAACTTGGTCGATTCGTTATTTCCAAAGTAATAGCGCCTCCTTGAGTTGAGTTCAGAACATCGTGTACCTAAAAGGACAATTTGTTAACCGTTTCTCTGTTGATTTGTTGATCAATGTGTCAGTGGTTTCCATATAATTTTATATATATGTTGATGAAGGGCAATAACTCTGTCATGCATATACGCTTAAGCCACATTACCATACATGAAGGTGTTTTATTTGTAAGGTGAAGCACTTGCGTGTAAGATATTAACAGCCGGATGATAAGCGATTACGTATACGTACATGCTGCCTAGCTAAGGAACATGATTAATCACGGCCCGAACTAGGCAATCTTGCCCGACGTTTAGCATATTATTGTGCACTTGGTAAATGGTGTTAAAATACCCTGGCACAGCCTTATCAAGTTAAAATTACAATACACTGATTCCATGCTAAACTGGACAAATGTTTTTGTAACTTTGGTGAAAGGGAGGCACAGAGGGACTGTATCGCTCACCTGAATATGTTTAAAATAATTGGTATGAAGTAAAGAAGTACATATGAAATTTCAGAAAGATGCATCCAGTACTTGAGATATAACGAGAACAAACTTCAAACAGAGCCCCAACCCTATGCCCCTAGGGAGGTCATACCCACCAATTATACAAAATTGATTCCCCTTGGCCCAATGATGCTCCAGACTAAATAAGGATAAAACCCCTTTATCCATCCCAATGGTCGAAGAAGGATTTTAAAGGTTTTACCTCTATTTTCCCTAATGGGACCCGCCCTTCTGCCCCCTGGGAGACCACACCCACCGTTTATACAAAATTGGTTCCCCTTGACACAAGGATGTTCTACACCAAATATGGACCAAATCCTTTCTTTCCTACAGAAGAAGAAGGATTTTAAAGATTAATTTGCTATGTTTCCCCTATTGGGCACCGCCTCTTAGGCCCCTGCGGGGCCAAACTCACAGTTTATACAAAATTGGATCCCCTTCACCCAAGGATGCTTCAGACCAAATCTGGAACAAATCCTTTCATTCCTACTGAAAAAGTAAGATTTTAAAGAATTTGCTATGTTTCCCCTATTGGGCCCCGCCCCTCAGCCCCTCAGCCCCAAGAGGGACTAGACCCATCGTTTATACAAAATTGGTCATTCTTTACCAAAGGATGCTCCACACCAAATATGGACCAAATCCTTTCATTCCTACAGAAGAAGGATGATTTTAAAGAATAATTTGCTATGTTTCCCCTATCGGGCCCCGCCCCTCAGGCCCTGAGGGGGCCAGACCAACGGTTTATACAAAATGTGTTTCCCTTCACCCAAGGATGCTTCAGACCAAATATGGAACAAATTCTTTCATTCCTACAGAAGAATACGGATTTTAAGAATAATTTGCTATATTTCCCCTATTGGGTCCCGCCCCTCACGCCACGAAGGGCCAGGCCTACGATTTATACAAAATTGGATTCCCCTCATCCAAGGATGCTTCAGACCAAAAATGGACCAACTCCTTTCATTCCTACAAAAGGAGAACGATTTTAAGGAATAATTTGCTATGTTTCCCGTATCGGGTCCCGCCCCTCAGGCCCCTAGGTAAGATTTTAAAGAATTTGCTATGTTTCCCCTATCAGGCCCTGCCACTCAGGCCCCTAGGGGGCCAGACCAACGGTGTATACAAAATTTGTTCCCCTTCACCCAAGGATGCTTCAGACCAAAAATGGACCAAATCCTTTCATTCCTAAAAAAGAAGAAGGATTTTAAAGAATAATTTGCTATATTTCCCCTATCGGGCCCGCCCCTCAGGCCCCAAGGGGGACTAGACCCATCGTTTATACAAAATTGGTTCCTCTTTACCCAAGAATGCTCCACACCAAATATGGACCAAACCCTATCATTCCTACAGAAGAAGAAGGATTTTAGAGAATAATTTGCTATGTTTCCCCTATAGGGTCCAGCCCCTCAGTCCCCTGAGGGCCATGCCCACGGTTTATACAAAATTGGTTCCCCGTCATCCAAGGATGCTTCATTCCTACAGAAGAAGAAGGATTTTAGAGAAAAATTTGCTATGTTTCCCCTATCAGGCCCTGCCACTCAGGCCCCTAGGGAGCCAGACCAACGGTGTATACAAAATTTGTTCCCCTTCACCCAAGGATACCTTAGACCAAATATGGAACAAATCCTTTCATTCCTACAGAAGGTCCTGCCCATCAGGCCCCTGAGGGCCCGGCCCACGGTTTATACAAAATTGGATCCCCGTCATCCAAGGAAGCTTCAGACCAAATATGGACCAAATCCGTTCATTCCTACAGAAGAAGGATGATTTTAAAGAATCATTTGCTCTGTTTCCCCTATAGGGTCCCGCCCCTCAGTCCCCTGAGGGCCATGCCCACGGTTTATACAAAATTGGTTCCCCGTCATCCAAGGATGCTTCAGATCAAATATGGACCTAATCCTTTCATTCCTACAAAAGAATACGGATTTTAAAGAATAATTTGCTATGTTTCCCCTATTGGGCCCCGCCCCTCACGCCACGAAGGGCCAGGCCTACGATTTATACAAAATTGGATCCCCGTCATCCAAGGATGCTTCAGGCCAAAAATGGACCAAATCCTTTCATTCCTACAAAAGAAGAAGGATTTTAAAGAATAATTTGCTATATTTCCCCTATTGGGACCCGCCCCTCACGCCACGAAGGGCCAGGCCGACGATTTATACAAAATTGGATCCCCGTCATCCAAGGATGCTTCAGACCAAATATGGAACAAATCCTTTCATTCCTACAGAAGAAGGAGGATTTTAAAGAATCATTTGCTATGTTTCCCCTATAGGGTCCCGCCCCTCAGTCCCCTGAGGGCCATGCCCACGGTTTATACAAAATTGGATCCCCGTCATCCAAGGATGCTTCAGATCAAATATGGACCAAATCCTTTCATTCCTACAAAAGAAGAAGGAGTTTAAAGATTAATTT